GGTTGCAGGCCTCGGAACTCACCAGTGCGGTCCGCACAAAAACCAGTGCATCCGCGGTGGGGGCTGTGCCGACTGCACAAAATGCAGTGCGTCCGCGGTGGGTGCTGTGCGGACCGCACAAAATGCAGTGCGGTTGCGGTGAGGAACATTTCACTGGTCCTACTTCGGAAGCTCATATCTTTTGATCTACAAGGAATTTTGAGATGATTCAAAAACGAAAGTTGTAGCCCTTCGTGTCTAGTTTCCGAAAAAGTAAAGATATCACAATTTGAAGATATATATCGAAATGTATGGCCAAAATACTAAAGCCTGTCACTGCAGTCAAAACCTGTGCGGCCGCAGTCGTTTTTGTGCGGACCGCGGTCGTTTTTGTGCGGTCCGCAGAGGTGGAAATCCGGGGGGTGCTCTATAAATACGAGGTTTTGGATTTTATTTGATATTTTGACCTAGAGAGCTCGGATTTTGGCAATTTTTCGAAAGTTTTTCAAGAAATTCATCAGGGTAAGTGATTCTAACTCAGATTTGGCTAGAGTACATGAATCTCTCATTGAACTCATCATTTAATTCGTAATTTTGGATGGAATTTGGGGAGAAAATTTGTGAAATCTTTCAAAAATATAAAATGGTGATCTGAATGACCAAATGGTATCGGAATTGGATAATTTTGATATGGTTAGACTCGTGAGGGTATGAGGATTCTGAAAATGTAAATTTTACCCGAATCCGAGACGTGGGCCCGAGGGGCATTTTGGTCATTTTACCTAATGTCGTGTATTAACTTAGAATTTAGTTGTAGAATCAGTTACTTGAAGTGTTATTTACATTATGAAATTTAATTGAATAGATTTGGGCCATTTGGAGTCGAATACTCGTGGCAAGAACGTGGTCTCAGGTTGATTTTTGAGTCGGTTCAAGGTAAGTGGCTTGTCTAACCTTGCGTGGGGGACTCTCCCCTTAGGATTGGTATTGTGGTAATTGAAATGCCTTGTACGTGAGGTGACGAGCACGTACTTGTGCTAGTTGTTGAAAAATCCTATTTTCATTAAAATAGCCTTAATTGTATTTTTCCTTTCTTGTTTACGCTACTTGGAATTTAAGCATGTTGTTAGTCTAGAGAAGCATGTCTAATTGACTTAATTGATTTACTTGCTCAAAATGTTTTATTTGGATTATGTGCAACATGCTAGGCTAGAAATATCTGCTTTACCTTGATATGGAATTTGAATTAAATTGTGTATTCTTCGTGTTGTTGTTGTGTATTTACTTTGGGACTACGGATTATATTCCGAGAGATCCCCCTGCACATTTATATTTGGGAATACGGATCGGTATTCCGGGAGATCCCCCTGCACATTTATATTGGAACTACGGGACTGCGCTCGGTAGATTCCCCCTGTACTGAGTATTTACATTTGGGGCTACAGGACGGGATCCTGGTAGACCCCCGATTGTTATCTCTGCATTGAATTATATTTTCCTTTCTGTTATTATCTGTCGTTGTTCTAGTTGTTGTTGTTCTTCTATTTTTGGTTATCTCTTACTGTTGCACTCAGTTATACTGTCTTATCCTATATTGTTTTATCTCGTATTTCTTTTATCTCAGTAGGGCCCTTACCTTCCTCGTTACTACTCAACCGAGGTTAGGCTTGGCACTTACTGAGTACCGCTGTGGTGTACTCATTCCCTTTCTGCGCATGTTTTTCATGTGCATATCCAGGTACTCCTATCCAGTCCTATCACCCCTTAGGCGAGGCGACTATTCTAGTGACTTCGAGGTATATCTGTCGCGTCCGCAGACCGAGGAGTCTCTTTCTATTCCTGCATTAGTATTTAGCCCTTCTGTATTTTCAGTTGTTGTTAGACATTCCGGAGTTAGAGCTATGTAGTATTTCTTAGCTTGTGATTCATGGGTTTTCGGGTTTTGGGAAGTGTTGTTAGTTCGAGGAGTTGTATTGTTTATGTCGGGTGACATTTTAAATACTGTTTCATTATGTTGGCTTGTTTTATATTATTTCTTCCGCAAGTTTGGTTTATTTCCGCATTTTTAGGCTTACCTAGTCGTAGAGACTAGGTGCCATCACGACAGTTCACGGAGGGCGAATTGGGGTCGTGACAATATTACTGTAAAACATGATTGGAAACAATGGGAATTGAACCCTACCAACATAGATTTCTATTAATATTTTTTTTATTAAAACAATTCCAGAAAATAGAAAAAGGGCCAAAAATCCATCTAAACGACCGCGAATGCCCAAAAAATGACGTACATCATTAGCAAAGCTAATGTGTTTTCTAAGTTGGTCCGTTTTCGATGAACCTACCAAATTTGAGGTCAATCGGAGTTCGACAGAATTTCAGAATTCTAAAATTTCTAGAATTCTATTTTTGGCGTTTTAAGGGTTTTTAATTATTTTGACTTGTTCAAATCACATAATATACTGATGTTTGTTAACACATGATTTCAGAACTCAAAATAATTTTTTTTTATTTAATAAAAAAGTGTTTAGACAGAATTGTGAAAACAGTAGGTTTTTCACTAGTCAAAAACGGTACTGTTCATAATTCTGTATATTATCCAAAATTACAGAACTAATATCATTCAAAACAGTCAAGTTTTTATTAATATAACACTGTGATTATGGATAGAACGCAACTAAAACAGATTAATGGTATTAATTCACTGTTTATGCATATGTATATAAACCCATAATTACAGAACTAATAGCATTCAAAAACACAATCACGTTTTTATCAAAAAATTGCTATTCAGCAAAAAACGTAATTTAAACAGACTGTTATTTAAATATAACACCACTGTTTATACATGTGTATATTAATTCATAATTTCAGAATTACAGAATTAAGATACTAATAAATACAATAACGCTTTTAACATCGAATAATCATCCCAAACATGTATCAATAAATAACACGTTTTAATATTACTCTATGCATGCTGTATTACATTATCTAGTTTGATGTAAGACGGCATCTGATACCAATTGTTAGAACATGCGCAGCGGAAGCAAGCATTCAAGCCAGGCATCAAACACATGTAAACTAGACAACGCAATAATAACGAGATTAGAAGCACTAACCTCTTGAAGTAGTTGCACAAATCCTCCAAGCAGCAAGAATCCAGGGCTGCAATCTTCTGCTATTTGCCTAGTAAAACCTTGGACGATTTTGCTTTTGGGTGGGCAAGAACAATACAACTAAAAAGGTAAGTTATTGGGTGAAATTAGTCTTCCTTTAATAGAGTTATTTTGGCCGAAAATCCTCCTCCAAAAACGTGTAGGATTCTCCTTCTACAAGTAGAATCCTACTCCAACTCTATTAGATGACTTTTCTCCCAAGTCACTTTTTACCCAAGTCTTGTCCAGGTTTTTACTAGGTATAGCAGGGACCACAGAAATAATAAGAGGCTACCAATTATAGTATTAATTCGAAATTAGCATGAACTAATTCTTACTATAATTAATTGCAATTTATTCCACTAAAAAACTGCAATTGAACTCCTCAATATGAATTTCGAAAATTCAATAAAACTTATTTTAATTCCCCATGTTAAGATCTCAAATATCAGTTAATTAAATTAAATCACTGAAAATTTAATTTAATCAACTAATTAAATCCTTTACAATTCCGCTTAAAATATTTTATGTGACGGATAAAAAATCCACCGGCCGGGTTTTCACATGAAAACTTATAAGCTTACATAAAGGGGTATCATCAAACTCAAAACCGAGTCATGGATTCTATCAACTAATTATTATTCACAAATGTTATTCGTTATTGTCCAATCTATTAGGCATACACTAACTCTAAATAGAGTCGTACCTTTTGATAAATCAAAACAATAAACAAATTACATTGATCATAATAATTATATCAAGATTAGGAGTATAAGCTCATTTAATGAATTAGAGAAAATGTTTTATATATTCAGTACAAAAATATCTTTTCTCTACTTGGTCCGTTCAATATACACTGAGTATACTAGCACAAGAAGTTGGAGTAAAACTACTCCCATAATCAAGATAAATTATACTATAATCTTGTGCCATAATCATCAAGATATTTTGTCCAACAATATCTTTGATTGTGAACGTAGTTTATTAATTATGAGAACCAACAATTTAATCTTCTGTGCATGAGCTAAGACTCCATACACTAAATTGTCTACTACATAATTAAAAGGACACACGTGTAACAAATGATCTATTTAGAATAGTACTTTATTGAATTGAATAAATTAAATAAACAATTATTCCATAAAGAATAAAATATAATACTATGTCTAAACCGCATGGTTAATAGTATATCCCAACCCTAAAGAGTTATATTCTCCTTATCTAGATATCATACATGAGAGCCAAAATCTCGTTGCACTGTTTGTGGATATAATTTATATCAATGTAACAGAATTAACCTCATTACTGAATTTTCAAGCGCGCGCTATACGCTTTGCCTTGAGGAAAGGGGGAGGAGCAGTTACATATATATAATTATTATGGTCATTACTGGCCGTTGTTCCGCTTGAACACTCTTCTTTGTTCATTTTTTTTTCCTTTCTTTTTTTAATTAAAGAAAACTATTACTTCATCCCTAATTTAGATCAAGGACATTAGGACACTTTTAATTAAAAGTAGTGCTGTTTAACTTTGCAATATCATATCACAAGTCGATGAATCTTACTTTAATTTGCGTTTTGGTAATGTCTGGAAAGTCCACTTTGCAGTTTTATACCCTCATGTCCTCTTAGTCTTCAACAAACCATAAGATTATTGGTTTTCTTAATTGGGTCCCTTTCGTTTGACAAATATGATAACGAGTCCTAAAATGTTTCAAACAGGTGTACGCGGATCTTGTTTTATTAAATTCCCTATTTCTAAATAATCAAGAAATAAATGATGGAATTAACGTTTTATTGATCTTATTGGTTTTGTTTGCTTTAGCTCTGTCAAACGTAAAAAGACATGCAATAGAGTCTCCGTGTTAGGTAACCTGCCGAGAGCAATCACCTTGAGAAAGCATTCTCTAGTCTCTACAATGCCCCTATAAATACGTGATTTTCTCCTCTCACCATGTGTGCACCACACTTGTTCCCTTCAAATTAAAGTAATACATTTCTATGTAAAATTTCTTCAATGGCTTCTTTTAAGACTGCCATAGTTTTGTTTTTCCTAGTGAGCTTAATTGGAAGCTCCTCAGCTCAACTTACCACTGGGTTTTATTCAAAATCATGTCCTAAGCTCTATGAAACTGTGAAATCTGTAGTGCATTCTGCCATTCAGAAGGAAACCCGTATGGCTGCTTCCCTCCTTCGCCTATTCTTCCACGATTGTTTTGTCAATGTAAAACTACTCTCTTCATTTTTCGTATAAATAATAGTATAATTCTTTATATCGAGTATATATGCGCGCAGTCTAAACACGAGTGCGACTAATTTTTATTTGTCAATCTACTGTTGATGATGTATAGAGACTAGGCACGAAATGTTAATTATAGAGCATTGTATATGACCATTAAGGTTTAAGTATTTTCTGTTGCCAAGTGTCCTAGGATTGATCCTGATATCGTTTGCAAGTCTATGTTTGACTAATAATTCGTTGCTGAGTCTTTATTAGTAGTACAAGTTGTTTTTTCTGTCTCCGGGCATTTAGAAGGTCTTGGTATCAATTATATCGATACGTACCTAATTGTAAAACTTTGACTTAGGCATACTCGATCATAATTTGGTCACCTACTTTTTTGGGTTGTCTAAATTGCTTAATGTCTTATTTCAGGGATGCGATGGATCATTATTCCTGGATGATACATCAACCTTCACAGGAGAAAAGAGGGCACAACCAAATTTCAATTCCGCCAGAGGATTTGAAGTTATTGACGACATCAAATCTGCCGTTGAAAAAGTGTGCCCTGGTGTCGTCTCTTGTGCTGATATTCTGGCCGTTACTGCCCGAGACTCTGTTGTCCTTGTAAGTTCTTGACGTTATTATAACATTAATTTTTTCATGTAAAACTCCTTTTTAAGTTTTATTCTAACGCGAATTATTCTTGTGTATAATGTAGCTTGGAGGGCCTAATTGGGATGTAAAACTAGGAAGAAGAGATTCCAGAACAGCAAGCCAAGCTGCTGCAAACAGTAGCATTCCTCCTCCAACTTCTAACCTTAACCGTCTCATCTCTAGCTTCAGTGCTGTTGGCCTTTCCACCAAGTATATGGTTGCCTTATCTGGTTCGTTCTCTTCCCCCGCCACTCTTCGAAATATAACGGAAAAGGGTCATATTTGCCGGGTAGATGGGTTACTTTTTTGGGTATGGGTTAGCTAATAAGCCGGATAATGTTGGGCTGCACCTGTCATTTTAAAGGTGGATCCGAGTTGACCGTTTGAGGCAGGGGTATTCGAATTTAAAAGGGTAACGACAAGGGTAGATAATGTTGAAAAGTATAAATGAGCTAATATGATCCTTTTCCGTATCTAGAGTAACTCGGTACAATATATTGATTTGAAAATCCTCTATACTATGATTGATATAAACAAATTACGTAAATCCTTTCTAATATACAATTGTGGTTATGTTTGTCAGGAGCTCACACCATTGGACAAGCAAGGTGCACTAGTTTTAGGGCACGCATATACAACGAGACCAATAATTTGGATTCATCACTAGCAAAAACCAGGCAAAACAACTGCCCGAGAAACTCAGGCTCAGGGGACAACAACTTGGCACCTCTTGATCTTCAGACTCCTACATATTTCGACAACCATTATTTCATTAACCTTGTAAGCAAAAAGGGTCTGCTCCACTCAGATCAGCAGCTCTTCAACGGCGGATCGGCCGATTCAACTGTGAAATCATACAGCGATAACCCCAGCAGTTTCGCCGCTGATTTTGTGACTGCCATGATTAAGATGGGTGACATCCGTCCCCTTACTGGATCTAAAGGAGAGATCAGGAAGAATTGCAGGAGGATCAACTAATTTTGCTTCTTTAATTTGCTTATTTTCATCTGTTCATTTGGAATCTTCTATTTCTCGTCTTCTTTTTATTTTGGTTTCTCAAATTTTAGTTTTATTTCTTGATTTGTGGCTTAATGGCTGTCAGTCTGTTACCTCTTAAAGTGCCACTTTTTTTCTACACTTGCAATGTGCTATGTTTGTGTCGTATTTCAGTTCTATGAATAAAATACCTTTTTTGGAAAAAAAAACATCCAAGTATTCATTTACTATTGCCCTTGATTATTTTTGCTTTAAAATCAAAACCCCACTTTAAGGAAAAATTATTTTAGAAAAAAGGGGTATGATATGTTGATTGAGATTCTTTCCATCTTAATTAGATGCCTTAAGTTCAAGTCTAACGATCTAAGAAAATTTTAATAAGTGTTTTACTCTTTTAGTGAGCCGACCTAAAATGAATGTGCAATATATTTGCTGAGTCGGTCAATTCGAACACCGAATAATTAAACAAAAACTTTACGATAAAACATGAGGGGGCAAAATATGTAGCATCAACGCCTAACTACAAGGCGAAATTCTTGCAAGGGATATAGATATACTAGTTTTGGTGGCTCTCCCAGAAAATTGGACTGGAAAAAATCTCTGGCTCCCTGCAAAGCACAAGACGACATTGTAGCTAGTTTTGACCCTGTTTGTTGATTTACTAGTCCGAGAAGGAGACAAGATGTTGACTTATTATATGGGGTATTTTGATTTTAAAAGGAAAAAACAGACCCAGTCAACCAACAACTAACAAAGGAGTACTTTTGTAGATTGATCAAATGTCAAGTTCCCCACAATTCACGAGGTGGAATAGGAAAGAGAATAACGAGAATTTTGAATTGACACATGTTAAGGGGTAAAATACGAACAATATTGTACCAAGTAGTATAAGTTTTGGTAGTCAATTTGCGAGTTCCACTTAGCAGTTAATAATGTATATACATTCCTTCATTGAATTACGAAAAGCTTACTTCATTAAACATACTTCATTGGTTTCAAATTTTCAATTTATATGACATTGTTTTAATTTGAGACTTTTCAAATATTTGACATCTTTCTAGTGTTAGGATACTATTAACCATGCGGTTTAGCTATATTATTATGTTTTATGGAACAATTATTTATTTAGTTTATCCAATTCAATAAAATATTATTTTAAATAGATCATTTGTTACTTGTGTATAACCCAAAATTTAAATCTAGATTTTTATACAATTAAATTTATAGGGAAAAGGGTTAGTCTAAGTCAACATTGATATCCAAAAGACATATTTAGTATGTTTATGAATAGTATTGAACGTGTGTTGTTAGACAATGATATCTTAGTGTAGTAATGGAGCAATAATGATTTAAGAATGTGAAGATGACAATAAATGACAATAAATAGTATTTAAGTAATAAATAGAACAAGGTTCACCCGACAAGGGTAATTTTTCACTGATCCTTCTGACAATGATGGATGATGATAAGCACTTGAATAGCTTGATTCTTCTTGGATCGGGAGAGAAAGATAGAAAAAGAGGTGTAAAAGTAAACTTTGTATGTATTCAATTAAGTCATGGCCAAGGGCCGATAGGTGATGTTCGAGCTGGTCGAACATACATTTGAGTTAAGTCGATCCGAAGGGCCGATGGGTGTTGTTGAGCTGGTCGAACATACCTTTGAGTTAAGTTGAGGCCGATGGCCGATAGGTTTTGTTCAAGCTGGTCGAACGTACTATTGAGTTAAGAGACTTAGGACAACGTTTCAATAAACAGGGATCTCATTTGTTCCAATAGCATTGTATTGATTACATCGTTTCTCCCTGAGGCGTTTTGGAGACAATTATAAGTTTTGGGTAATGACTGGCATTCCAATCTCACTCCCAATATATGTAGTTCCTTCATTGTTCGGCTCGGAGATTCTCGAGGAGTCGGGCGATAACATATGGCCCTTCTCGTGTACTCCAACTTGAAATATTCCGTCCGTTGCCTCATTAAAAACCTCCTTGAGAAAGCCCTATTGGGACAAAAATCAAGTGAGGGAAAAAGTGTACAACTTACGGGCATTCCTTGTTACTCAGAAGTTGAAGTATTTGAGGTGGCTGATGTTCCAATTGTCTAGTAAGAGTTTTTCTTCCAATGTCTCTAGTTGGAATGAGCCCTTGTCTGCGCATCCCAATTGGCTCCTAATTTTCCTTCTGGGGGTCTCTTATTGCTTTGGTCTCTGAGCGCTTAGTCCCCGATTTTGAGTAATCGTACCTTGGCCTTTTTGTTGTAGTAGCGTCCTACATGCAATTTTTGTGTGATTATTCTTATGTAGGCCATGTCCTTTTTCTCATCGACCTCTTTGAGGTCTTGTCATCTATTTCATCATTGTCATTGCCACTTTTATTGGTGTATCTTAGGATGGGTCTCCTACTTCAACCAGTATGACCGCTTCCATTCCGTAGATTAGGAAGTAAGGTGTTTCTCCCGTGCTTGTTTTTAGGTTCGTTTTGTGTTCCCATAGTACCTGGGAGTATTTCCAGCCACAGTCCCTTGGCGTCTTCGAGTCTCTTCTTTATGATGTTCAAGATTGATTTGTTGGAGGACTCTGTTTGCCCATTGCCGGCTGGGTGTTTGAGAGTATTCTTGTTGTGTGCCATTTTTCGGAAAACTAGGTGGTTTTTCTTTCCATGAACTGTGGTCCGTTGTTGCAGCTTATTTCCTTTGGCAAGCCAAATCGGCAAATGATGTTCTTCCATATGAAGGTGATCACCTCTTGCTCGCGAATTTGGGCGAATGCGCCTGCTTCCACCCATTTAGAGAATTAGTGAGTTAAAACTAAAAGGTATTTAACATTATCTCGTCCTGGCAGAAGCGATCCCACAATGTCCATTCCCCACTTAATGAACGGCCATCGGGAGGTGACAGAATGGAGGTGTTCGCCTGTTTGGTGGATTATGGAGGCGAACTTCTGGCACTTTTTGCATTTCTTTACAAATTCTTGGGCATCTTTCTTTATGCTGGGCCAATAGTATCCCACCCGTATGAGGCACCTGACCAGTGTTCGGTTACTGCAGTGACTGCCGCAGTGGCCTTCGTGGATTTCCTCAAGAATGCATTGGGTTTGATTTGGGCCCAAGCATTTTGCTAAAGGATCGCCATACGTTCTCTTATACAAGCCGCTGCAAAGGAGGCTGTACCTAACGGCTTGCTTCTCAGCTTTTCGGCTTCCTTTTTGTCTTTCGGGAGGGTACCGTCCTATAAATAGTTTATAATTCCATTGTGCAAGTCCCAAGTTAAGTTTATAGATTTTACCTCGATGGGGTCCAATGCCGAGCTGAGGAGCTGTCCACGCTCCTATCCCAGAGGTTATGCCTTATGTTGCGGCGGCCAATTTGGCGAAGCTGTCGCCCTCGACGTTTAGAGTTCGTGGAATTTGGTCGAGTTGGCATTCGTCGAATTTGGGCAGCAATTTGCATATCTGGGTCTGGTATTTCTGCAACCTTTGCTCTTTGATATGGAAAGTCCTGGTAACTTGGTAGATGACGAGCTGAGAATCGCAGCGTAGCTTTAACTCGCCCCATATTCAAGTGCTAGTCTCAATCTTGCAATTACGGCCTCATACTCGGCCTCGTTGTTAGTCATATCTGGGCATCTTATAGATTGGCGAATCGATGGGGACTTCGAGTACGAGTCCTAGTTCGGACCCACATGCGTTGGATGTGCAGTCAGTGTATAGGACCCAGAGGTCGTGTGTTAGGTAAAAAGCTTGAGTACATTCCTTCTTAGCCTCAGGCATCAGTTTGGCACTGAAGTCCACGAAAAAGTCGGCAAGCACTTAAAATTTTATTGTTGTGCGGGGCTGATAAGTGATGTCGTGCTCACTTAATTCGATCTCCCACTTGGCCAGCTTCCCAGAAAGCTCGGGTTTGTGCAATATGCTTCTCAAAGGAAACGTGGTGACGACCGAGATTGGGTGGAACTAGAAATACGGTTTAAGCTTTCGTGAAGCTACGACCAGGGCCTGGGCTAGTTTATCAAGGTGAGGGCACCTCGTCTCGGCATTGATAAGTGTTTTACTTATATAGTAAATTATAGATTGCATATCTTTGTCTTCTCGAGCTAGGACTGCACTTACCGCTACCTCTGAAATAGCGAGGTAGACAAGGAGACGTTCCTCGGTGTCGGGCTTCGAGAGCAAGGGTGACGATGACAGGTATTCCTTGAGTTCCTTCAACTCTTGTATACATTCAGGCGTCCATTCGAAGTTGTTGTCCTTTTTGAGTACGTTGAAGAACCTGGGGCACCTATCAAATTACCTCGAGATGAATTTGTACAGGGCGGCAATTCGAGTCGTCAGTCGCTGGACTTGTTTCTTAGTGGACATTCTGATATCTCATCAATGGCCTTAATTTGATCTGTGTTGACCTTGGTTCCGCGGAGTGACACTAGGAAGCCCAAAAACTTATCGAAAGTTACGCCGAATGCGCATTTCTCGGGGTTCAACTACATCCTATTGTTCCTCAATACTTCGAAAGTTTCCTTTAAATGGTCGATGTGAACCTCTGCCCTCAAGGATTTACCCAACATATCGTTGATGTATACCTCTATGGTTTTGCCGAGTTGGTTTTTGAACATCATTGTGACCAGCCTTTGATAGGTAGCTCCTGCGTTCTTTAGCTCGAATGGCATGACCATGTAGTAGTACATTCCCTTGTGAGTGATGAACGTTGATTTTTCTCGGTCATCTTCCTCCATGAGTATCTGATCGTAGCATGAGTAAGCATCCAGAAAACATAGCAACTCATGTCATGCTATCGCATCGATGAGCTGGTCGATATGTGGCAACGGGAACGAATCCTTTGGGCAGGCTTTGTTCAGATCGGTGAAGTCCACACACATCCTCCATTTTTCGTTCTTCTTTTTGACCATTACCACGCTGGCAATCCACTTGGGGTATTTCGACTCCCTGATAGAGTCGTTGGCCAATAGATTTTCTACCTCCTCGTGGACAACATCACTGATGGTGGGATTGAACTTTCATCGGACCTGCCTTACTAGGGGGTAGTAGGGGTCGACATTTAGCTTATGCATGGATATCTTTTTGGGGATGACGGGCATGTCTACATGGCTAATGGTAATCAAATCTGCGTTAGCTATTAAAAATTGACTGAATTTACCTGGATTTTGGAGTATACATCC